TAAAGTAGGGTAGTAGCATCACACAACAACTTAATACAAAGATATATCCATTGTCTAGGATATATAAGATATTACCTAGACAATACAAATAAATAAATAAGTAAAAAACACAACCCAACATGCTTCATAATAAATTCCATACAACAACAAAAACTAAAGAAAAACTAAGACTTTGAATTGTAAAAACGTATAGCCTCTGGAACAAAAGTGAATTTATATCTATTAGATGAACATCTAATGCTTCTGAATCTTCTTCCAGAGGGCAATACCTCAAAGTAAACCTTCAAGGGGTGAGAGTCATCTCCCGTAATACTAAGAGTTTTCCTTAACATTTGTTGCTCGTAGAATTCTGCTAGACTCCGCAAAGGCACACCAATAATTTTTGAGCAAGTCCTAACTAAGGTCTGCAAACGATTCTTATTCCTAAGAGAGAGTGAAGAGTACCAGCATAAAAAAGAAAAACTCAACACACTCTCAATAAAAGTAGTATAAAAAGTTCTCAGTATGTTTTTGCGTACACAGAAGGAGTTCAATTTCCTAAGAGCGTACATTCTTTGATTCACTTAATAATGGCCTCTGTGTTCTGCTGGAACTTTAAGGTAGTATCAGAGGTAGTTCCAAGATACTTGTACTCCTCTACCCTTTCAACTTCTTTTCCATTAAAATACACAGGTTTCACCTTTGAGGCGTTTTTTCTAAAATCAAAAAAAGGGGAAGCTGTGTCTCCCCTGCCTCCCCCGACGAGCCGCCACTGCTATAAATACAGTTTATAATTGAGCAAAGCATGGAGTTTGGGGGCTGGGAAAGGAGGAAGCAGAAGGCGAAAGGAGGCTTTAATAATGATGATAAAAGCTAGTAAAACACAGGCCAAGGCTCAGATATATGACCTCTACTACTTCCTTGTGCAGGAGGTGCTTGTTCCTGTTGTGTCTCCTTCTGTGTTGTTTTACTGGAGTAAGAAGTTGGTCCATCTTCTACTTCCGTACTATTCCCATAAGTCCCACTTTTTGTCATTGTCTTAAAATTATAGTAATCATAAATAGTTTCATAAGAAATATAAAAATAAAAAATACAATGAAAGAAGTAAAAATTTAAAAAAGAAATTTAAAATTAAATACGATTCCACATTAAAATGAATATGAGGGACATAAAAGCAAAATAAATTGATGTTTTTTTAATTGTTTATTTACTGTATGTATATATATATATATATTTATTTATTTATAAATATATTTATTTATTTATAAATCAGGGATTCGGCCAAGTGAACTGAATTACGTGAAAAGCACTTTCATGTAAGATAAGTTGGACTGTTCAAGAATAACTTAGTCATCACTACTGGCCTGTTTATTTAGTCTGGTGATTATTTTAGTACACTGATTATCGTGAATGAAGTTGGTCCACACTTAATCTTGTTTTATTGAAGAACAAAAGGTCATTCATGTTCTCAGTTCACATGTGGCCCAGTGAAAGTGGCACATTGACTGTTCCTGAGGTCTGGCTATCAGTCCCCTGATCTTTACTGCTCCCCAGGGTGGGGGTCACCGGTCGGACAGTTCATTTTTGATATACGTACTGCTTTAATCCCAGCTGGGACCTGAGGAGAACACCAGCTCCTTACACAACACTGAGCTTTATATTGTTCATTTTACGACTCAGGCGTAGTACTGTAACAAAACCCACTCTCTGGATGCCAACTGGCACACGAGAGGCTCTCAGCTGATTAATGTGGCAGCTTTCACAGGACTCAGGCCATTAAATGTTTAATCTAGGGTTTATCACACAAGCTTTGATTAGGGCTGTGCTACACAGAGCCATAGTTCACTGACAAGCTACACAAAATCGCGTTCAAAATCGCAGGCGATTCATTGCCGATTTTCAACCCGATTTTGTGTAGCTTGTCAGTGAACTACGGCTCTGTGTAGTAAATGCCGCTCCATCTGAAAGCACGTGCTGGAGATTTACTACTAATCACAGGAGTGGCTTTACTGACGAGATGCGCATGAAAATCGCATTCAATTTTTTGCACAGCCCTAGCTTTGATTCTCAGATGCTTTGATTTATACACCTAAATCTCCAGCACAAAGCAGGGTTTTTGTGTGTGTGTATTAGTAACAGCATCTCTTTTTTTAGTATTTTTATACTATTATACTTTTGTACTAATATAATTATTTTAAATTAGCTTTTATTTTTATATTTTCAGTTTTTATTTTCATTTTATTTTTAGTTTTTGTATGTGTTTATTTTATTTCAGTTTTAGTTTTAGTCATTTTATACTTCAACTTATTTAATTTCAAGGCAACATATCATTATTGTTTACATTATTATTTACTCACCGTCATGTCGTTCCAAACCTGTATGACTCTTTACACTGTGGACCACAAATGAAGGTATTATATATGCATTTTTCTATTGTTTTTTTGTTTTTTTTCAGATGAACCAACCTGACAAAGAGTATTTATGTATTTGTTCATTTGTTTGCATGTTATTGGCAACTAACAGAAATAAAAGGTTAAAGGAACACTCCACTATTTTTGAAAATAGGCTCATTTTCCAACTCCCCTAGAGTTAAACAGTTGAGTTTTACCGTTTTCGAATCCATTCAGCCGATCTCCGGGTCTGGCGGTAGCACTTTTAGCTGTAGCTTAGCATAGATCATTGAATCTGATTGGACCGTTAGCATCTCGCTCAAAAATGACCAAAAAGTTTCTATATTTTTCCTATTTAAAACTTGACTCTTCTGTAGTTGCATCGTGTACTAAGACCGACGGAAAATTAAAAGTTGCGATTTTCTAGGCCGATAT